GGGCGCTGAGTATTCCTAAAGGAAGAACTCGGTAACCTTTTTTATCGTGAACCGTGCCTTTAAGACGAAGATTTGAATACCAGTGGATGGTTAAGGTCTGTGGCGAGTCACTGCTGCATGTGCAGCTGCTTTTGAAGAAATTCGTAAACAAACTCAGCCACAAACTTCAAAACATTCGTCAACTAATACTTTCCTGATTGGATCAACAGCAGCAACACTACGGAACTTTTGAATGTTTCAAAACAATCTATAATCAAATGAAGTTGATCCCGCATTACATGAATGTTACCTATTAGTAAAAACAGCATACACCGTATTCGCTTATTTATAATCATGATCATCATGTATTCAAATTTCAACACTGTTCTGATTGATAGTTAAGGGTAGCCCGAGGGGCAGTGATGGGTCTTTGCGTTCCGTTGAATCCATGTATTTTTTGCCGAACCCGATTGCTGCAGGTACTCTCTGTAATCTCCCATTGAATGAAGGAGTCCAGTGTCACGTCTCGTCTTCTTCTCGATTTTGGTACAATGCCTCGTCTACAACTTGTCAAGCATTCCTATACAAGGGATGTCAGGGCAATTCAAACAGTTTTCTATCAATAGACAGCTGCTATCGATCTTGCAATGGCGTTCAGGGTGAGACATTAGCAATGTGATAGCTTGACTTTCCCCCATATTCGTTAGGCCTTTTCAGCCGAGGTCCGCTGTCCGCGTGGCGATCCTCCAAAGGAAGGGAACGTGAAGAAGTTATGTCTGGTGAACAATGAGGACAAGTGCCCAAGAAACTATGAGTGCTACTTTGATGGAGCCACTTACGGATGTTGTCCTACTGCAGGTACGTGGAGACGATTGATCAGCGTATGAGTTACAGGGTAAAGCTTCCCAATGCTCTGATACGACTTAATGAATAAGGAGGAAGGGTGAGACATATTCGTTGTACCGAAACGGAAGAACACATCTCCTTGTGAATCGCTATCATAGCACTTCCCATAACGATGATCTCTGTCCTCTACAAGAAGAAAAGAATTTATTGCAGTCGAAGGAATATGTAAAGTGACAGGATTATGTGAAAACTGGAGGCTCATTCATAAAGATAGGTGAAGTGTATTTAAAGGTGGTCCGTTCTCTCTTTATCAGACAAACCCACTGTCCCTTTCCCTTTCCCTGGGGCTCATCAGTGGTTTGGTGTGTGTGGTAGTCTCACTTGGCCGAACCTCACCTACTACAAC